CATGCTGACAACTGCAGGACACTTATTAGGCATTTTTGGCATTTTGGCTTTTTTTTTTTCCCAAAGAGTTTGTAAAGAGAACCTAAAATCTGCCTTGTAATGGTCACTGTATACCCCTGTAGTGATGGAATGCTGTAGGTACTCTATGAAATATAGTACTGGGTGACACAAGGATTCTAGAAAGAACTCTGTCACAGAGATACAGAATTTTCTGCTCTAAGATAAACAATACAGAAGTTCTCTCTGTACCAGGTATGGTCAAGGTTATAATGGCTCATCTTCATTTAAGGAATTGGATTTTTGGCTGACAATCCATAACTGCAACAGTGCTAGAGAAACTGATGTGACAATTAGTTTTCTACTACAGCACAGAAGACTAGCATGATGCCAAGAAAGCCAGAGTGCTGGAGGACTTTTTCTCACTCTTGGAACACATTAAAAATATCAGTGATCAGATGTCTTGGAACAGCTGGCAGAGACAAGAGGGTAAGGCTACATGCTCTGATTGAAACAGGGGAATGGGAAAGAATGGGGACAGAACAAAGAACTGGTTTAAAATTGTCACAACTTGCTAAAATCCCTCAGAAGAGTTTTAAGAAACTAGCTGAAACAATCTCAAGGTAAGGGGATGCTTCCACAGAACAGAAAACATGGGTTTCAGAAGCCTGAGGAGAGTCAAGTTCATATCTCCTGCTTCGGAAAAAATACCCAGTGGAAGTTGCCCACAGATGTTCCCCATCTTTCCTGTTAAATCAAGGATATGTGCAAAAAAGTCACAAAACTATTTTGTTCAAAGGTTGTTGGCAGTGGTAACTATTGCTGTTAGCAGATGAAAGCAAGCTGCAGGTTGGATTTCAAAGGGTAGTGGAATTTGCTTTTATTGGACTAACTGTGCAGTTCCTTGCATGTTCCATATTCTTTTCCTAAGATGTTTCCTGAAGTAATGGTAAAGTCAGCATACTTTATAAATAATAATAATGTACTAATACATTAAATATGTATTAGTATGTACAGTAAATATAATGTACATACTTTATAGATAATAATAAATGTAAGTACCCATTAAAGCATACTAAAGGAATACCTTATGTTTCCAGTAGATGAACATTGAGATAATGAAGTATTTGTGAATCGCATCACAGTCTTCTATTATGCTAAATTCTGGATTTTATTGCTGAAGAGAGCAGCAGTAAAGGTGGCATTAAACTGCTTTATTCTCCTGCATTCTCTAAATCTGAAGATGGAAAGCGGGGAGAAGCATTAAAGAACTTCATGGCTGTTCAGCAACCAGCAAGGGGACTCACCTTCCATCCTGCAATCTACCCTCAAACTGCTTTCTTTCTGTGTTTGAAGCAGCTTTTTGAGTCTTTGGGTTTCAGAGGTTTTTTGTTTTAGTTTGGGTTTCCTTTACAGGAGAGTTTACATTCCCCCTGATAAATTAGCAGCATAGGTAAGAGCCTGTTCTCGGTTGAAGAAGATTCAAATAACTTACCCTGTTCAGAAAAATTAAACTATTCTTCCTCTTCTGAGGAGTGGTTACTCCATTCCCAAATTAGGATTGAACCTCAGGACTTCCTCATTGCTCTTGGAGTACCTTTAATTTTTAGTTTATTTAAGTAATTCTAGTCTCCTAGAACATACAGATAACTTACAGAGCTGTTACATTGTGATCCCATTATTTTATGCTTTTTCAGGCATAAGTTAAGTAGTCTGAGAAAAGCACTACCTTTTGCTATGAATGTATCTCAGTTTCCTCTAAAATTGCAGGGTTTTTTTCTCTTTAGCTGTGAGCAATTGTCCAGAGCAGTGGACATTTTCAATCGTAGCTGACAGAATCCTAATTTTATCTCTAGTTTTTTCCATGTGTACTGCAGGATTCTTTTAAAAACAGCACCTGGTCCTAGTGATTTATGATTTGAGTTTCTCAGGCTTTCAATAGGCTCTTCTTTTGAGATATCTAGGCCTGGGGAAACTACTGTGAATTCCCATAAGGCACATCCTTGAGATAGGAATTTCTCTGTCACCCTTTATGTTAAAACCAAATGATTTATATTCAACTTCTTTACCTGTGACACCTTCTTTCATCTGGCTCTGGATATTACATAGACAAAACTAAAAAAATATCCTCCTGAATTCTAACACCTTTAAGAATACTTGTAGTTCTTTTCTGTGTGTGTGTTGTGCATTGATACAGGGGCGCTGCAGGCAGCCATCGGTACCCATGAATACCAAGAGAGCAGAACATTTTTCAGCAGCACCTATAAAAGCAATAACTGCATTTCTTTGTGCAAGAGTAGTGTTAAACCAGCCCCTCATTCTTCAGACTGCCAGTGGCTACAGAAAGCTTTTCATTAGCCAATGATAGTAGTAATTTTATTTTTCACTAATCTTCATTAATTTTTTCTTACTTTACTTTCTTACTTGTTTATATTAACACTTCAATAACTGTTAAGATGTGGTTTAGTTAAGAAACTGTAGCATCTCTGGTTTGTTGGGTTTGGGTTTTTTCCGCTTTGGTTGGAGAAATTGCTTCAGCCTAGGAAGAATTCCATGTCTGCACATACCCCATGAATGAGCATGACCTCCCTAGCATTCAGACATTTGCTGTGTAATGTTGTGGTGTCATTAAAGACTGTCTACATAAGATACACTTTACTTGAGTTGATGAGCATCACATGTATCTTCTAAGGAGGCTGAGCAAGTGAAACATCTTGCCTCAAGATGTCACAAGTGATACAGGCACCTGGCCTCTGGTTCTAGTTTGCCTGAGCAGAAACACTTGAGAAAGACCAGAGCTCTTTTGCTTTTCTAACTCCTTGTCCTAGGCTGTCAGCAAGTCTCCTAACATGGCTAGACCTTGATTAGATGGAGACAAGGAACAGAACATTTGCAAAACAGATCCTGATGTTATCCTACATAAATTCTTCTGAAGTACAGTTCAGACCTGGGAACACCAGGCAGTCCAATCATACAGAGCTGGAATTTTCATGATACAGTGGTCTACAGTACTTTGATTCCTTGGCCATAATTCTAGAGAAATTATCAGTAGCAATGTAGCACCAAAATTATAGCAAGGTTGAATCACTTTTGAATACTTGAGCTTCATCAGAGAAATCAGGCTCAGAATCACCCCTCAAACTTCAATGGGTGTCTGGCCTTCAGTATTGATTCAAACATTCTCTACTCTGCTGGTAGTCAGAGATCATTTTTATAAGCTTCCAGCATCATGTAGGACTAGTTCCATATAAAACACTCCTGTGTTTAGTCAGAACCAGAAGACTGAAATGTTCTGTACAGTTCTGTTTAGCTGGACATCCTACACCAGTAGATGTAGGTGTGGCTCGCACCAGGGCAGCTTATAGAGATGGGAACTTCCTGTGTTTTTTAGCATCTCACAGTTTCAGAAGTGTTAAGGTTGGAAAAGACCTCCAAGATCTCTAGTCCAACCATTAACCCAGCACCACCATGCTTGCCACTAAACCATATCCCCAAGTGCCACACCCACATGCCTTTTGAGCTTTCCAAGGGATGGTGATTTCACCACCTCCCTGGGCAACCTGTTCCAGTGCCTAACTGCCCTTTCAGTGAAGAAAGTTTTCCTGCTATCCAATCTAAACCTACACTATCACAACTTGAGGCCATTTCCTCTCATCTTGTCACTTGTTATCTGGGAAAAAAGACTGACACCCTGGGTGACTGACTGACACCTTGCTGCAACATCATTTTAGGTAATTGCAGAGAACTTGTTTGTTCTTCCAGGTAACAAGCAACAGGATGAGAGGAAATGGCCTCAAACTGTACCAGGGGAGATTTAGATTGGACATTAGGAGGAATTTCTTCTCAGAAAGGGTGGTTAGATATTGGAATGGGCTGCTCAGGGCAGTGGTGCAGTCACCATCCCTGGAGGTGTTTAAGAAAAGATTGGATGTGGCACTTGGTGCCATGGTCCAGTTGCAAGGTGGTGTTCAGTTGGTCATAGGTTGTATTTGATCTCAGAGGTCTTTCCCAAGCTAAGTGATTCTGTGAAAACTGCCTCCAGTGACAGCAAATATTGATACATATAGCAAAAAGGTGCTGAAGTTTTATCTCTGCTGCAGAAATAATTACCTTTTGAAAATGAGGGTCTCTAGACTATTATTAGTTAGTATTGCAAATGCTAATTTGAAATGGTAAGCATTGCCAGAGACATCTAGAAAGGAATTTAGATATGGTGCAGTAGAGAGCCTTTATGGCAGCGGTAACATTTCCAGAGACAGACATCTTGAGAAGAAGTATTTCTTTATGGGTTTTCTGAAGCACAATGACCTATTCAATGCTTTGCATTCTCTTTGTATGGACAGGGTTGTACACACTCTTAGATCTCCAAGACAAGTTGCCAGCTACAGGCATCACAAGACCATAGGCTTTCCAACCCTGCAGGCCTGCATGCCCTCCAACAAAGCAGCACAAGACTTAAAGAGAAAAAAACAAAAAAAAGACAACTTCCTTGTGTGTTGCAGTTCATCTGCTTATTTCATCCATATGGCAGTATCTGACTGTTTGCACCAGAACATTTGGAATGTTTTTAAAGTTGTACCTCTTCCTTTCAAGCACTGAAATGGTTTTATAATATGTTAAAGCCTACCAACTGTCACAGATTTGTGTATTCTATTTTAGTCACTCATTGACTCCTTTTGGTCTCAAGGTGTTTTATAAGAGTATGGTAGATCATTGGTAGAACTGCTTCTTTTCCTATGGAAAAGAGATTCCCTTTTTTTCTCTTAAAAAGGGATGGGGAAAGGTGGTAGTGAGCCAATTCCAATTCCAGTACAATATTCAATTAGGCTGTCCCAGATCTCAAGAAGTGTAAATACATACAGCTGAAAGATCAGATACAGAGAAATGTTTTCAGCCAGCAGTTTATCACTACCAAGTTAGAAAGCCCTGAGAGTTCTGAGCTTTCTAAAGTTATTTCCACACTGTTACCCACTCTGCCTGAAGGAACTGTGTCATCTTTCTAGCAGGTGTCATTGCCTCCAGTAAAGACCTGTGTGCTTGTCACTGCCTGTTTCAGAAGAACAAAAACCCACATACGCATGCATGTCCTGAACACTGCGTAAGTGATCTAAGAACTGTCATTACATCCTTCACTCATGGCTTTTCTTGGTCCTGAGGGCAGGCAAGAAGTCAGCATAGATCCCTGCACAAAACAGAGATGATCCAAACTGTTAGCCTTCTGTGACTTCACATCACATTCAACTTTTCTATTCAATCTCAGAGCCTACCTCAGAAGCTCACTGAGAGCATGGATCATGGGTCAGGGGGTGGTGAGGCACTGGCACAGGTTGCCCAGAGAAGCTGTGGAGGCCTCATTCCTAGAATTGTTCAAGAGCAGGTTGAATGGGGCTTGAAGCAACCTGGTGTAGTGGAAGGTGTCCCTGCCCATGGCAGAGGGGTTGGAACCAGATAATCTTTAAGGTTCCTCCCAACCCAAACTATTCTGTGATACCAGGGGTCAGACTTTCAATAGCTTAGCACAAGACACTCTTATAGCACAGCTTATGAGGGCAAACTATAGCCAAAAGAGGAGTTGTTCAAGTGTTCCTGTGCCTGCCTGGAACTCCCCTTTTCAGCAGGGAGTCTCCAAAAAAAGAATCTTGCAAAAAGACAAAAAGATTATAGTTTTCCACAAACATGTATTTGTGGAGATTTGGAGACTGTATATGGACAGTGAAGTCTAGATTGCACTATCACACTTCAATTGTCAAATCTTATAAAATAGGAGCAGAAAGCAGTTTTAGCCTAACCAATGGTGGAAGAAGCTTCTGTTACATCAGGGACCACAGAGATACAATGTTTCCCCTACATTCTTGACATGTCCATATTTAAGCTATTAATGTGTTCTGGAAATCCATGGTTTACTGAGCCATCTTCAGAAGATAATGTTTTGAACAACTGTAGGTAGCAATTGAATATCATATGGCTTAAGGATAGATTTGCAAATGGAGAAAAGGTAAACCAGTCTGTTCCAGGAAATACCTTTCCAGTTTATGGAAAACTAGGAACTTACTGACAGGGTTAGTGCTCACCATAGTGCAACTGGCATTGAAACAAAGGCCACCAACAAGACATATCCAGGAAGTATTCAGTAGGCTTATCACCCCAGAACTACCAAAACGGTGATGTTAGTCTGATCTTCGAAGTTTATCTATTTGATCTCCAAAAGCTTAGCTTCTCTTTCCAGGTGTGAGGTATCAACATGACTAATCCATCTGATGTCTGGATCCTGCAATGTTTCACTTCACAGCACATATGCAGAAAGTACTTCCTAAAGAGAAATTTTCTTCTTCAGGTATGTGAATTATTACTGGAAGATATTCTCTAGATGCATTAACCTAACACATTGAAAAAAATAAAACATCCCTATAGTTTCATGAACGTTTAAGTCTCCTCTCCATGTTATTCTGTGCCATTTCCAGGTTTGTATAGCAGGTATTACCCACCTATTTGTTCACCACTGTGAGATTTGCTTTTCCTTGTCCTGTGGCATTGACATTTCTGGCAGCTCTGTCCTCCCCTCAATAGAGTAAGTTGTGTCTCTTTGGTTCCACAAAGGCCATGACTCTTTCCAGCCTAATTTTATTCCTTTAGTTCCTCTCTGTAAGGGGAAGGAAGTGAGTTTGCCTCCTTCTGTGGATCTCTGCCTGCCCCTTACCACGTAGCCCCTTCCTCTGTTCTACCAGGACCCAGCTGAGGAGCAAGCTGAAGACATAGTAAAACCACAAAGATTAAAGGATGGAAGGATCAGCATGCATTCTGTTTATTGTTGAATACAACATTGTAAATAAACCGGTATGTCAGCAATTATTTTATTACTCAGTTTAGATATCACTGGGGAACAAAAACAAAAACCATAAACCAGCCTTTTCAGAAGGCCCTCAATAAAAGCTACAAACTGCCTTTGAAATTCAAAGAAAACTCAGTTCCTGACTCCAAATACCAGTAAAACCCCAGACTTGATGTTTCCAATCTATTGCCTTTTTTTTTTCCAATGGAGAATCAGGATGGAACAATGTTGCAATGTTTAATTCTTCACAGTTTCAGCAAGCACTCAGCTGACTGCTGTAACAGTAACTTGCTTAGAAAGCAAAGCGCAAAATTAATTTTCTACAGCAGACTTGTACACATTAGTTTCCAACCTTTAGGGCTACAATCATCATCCTTCTGACCAGAAAAAAGACACCAATTATTGAACCATTCCATTAGATTGAAAACAGAGTAGAAATGGAGGAAGGATTCTTGGAAAAATTTACACATCAGATCACACTTCAGGAGGTTATTTCAGCAGAAACTACATGATGGTCTAAAAACTGACCTTTTTTATAGAAGTCAGATTTATTTGAATTTTATATGATGACTAGTGATTTACTTCTCACCCACCCATTTGAGAATATTCAGGACTCCAGGCATATCTTCTGCCAGAACCAGACTATTCAAATCGTTGGTCCATCCATGTACTAGTTACAACAAGGCCTCCTGTGACTAATTATGGTCTGACTGCAGCAGGAGAGGCAGCTTCAAAGAATGGGAATCTTCAGACACACTAGAAGTTCCCTTGGTTCCCAAATTCGTTATTTATGTGGATTACATTGAGCTGACAGATTTAACTGGGCTGTTGAAGATATGGTCAAAGAAGCAGAGTCACTCCCTTCCCTTTTATTGTCTTCTGAAGACATAACAGTCATATGCATCTGTCACTAGAGAGAGGAAGTTCTCCATCATTGGACTTCATTTGGGGTTTTATAGGCTGTTTCAGTAGCATTTGGGAATAGATCAATATACTATGTGGTAGGGAGTTGTATTTCTTCACTGCACTGTAAATCTTTTATTGAAGATACTCCCACTGTTTATTGTTGAAAATCGATAAAAATAAACCTTGTAAAGTTAAAGCCTGGCAATGGTTCAGCACAAATCAGAGAGGAGGAGTAAGAAGCACTGAGCCTCCCTCCTCTTCTTGGATAATTCCCAGCTTGTTTCTCAATGAATATTTAGTAACACTTTTCAGCAATCTAGGAACAAATTTTAAAAATAAGAAATTATTCAAAGTTATGAACTCTTTGTGGTGAACTCAAACAGGACTTTTGATCCGCCCTGGTGGCTTTCTGGTACTGAATTCAGCTGTGGGTCAAAACAAAATATCACCCAGGTTATGTTGGATGTACCTGAGACTTACCAACTCAAGAGACTGACAAAAGCACATCAGACTTGCTCAGGTCAGATTAAGGGAGTTATTTATGAGCATTGGAAAGCTGGAAACCAACCAAAATAGGTAGAAACTGGGAAGAGTTCACTGGGCAGAAAAGTTTCTCCAAAGTTGACAGAAGTTACTATCATTGGGCATGATGCAGTTACTGCAGCATCATTGTTTTGCCCTATGGCTATTAATTCCTCATATACAGCATTGTAGGGAGGATCTTCTACTACTTCCATGAAATTCAGTTTTGAAGGTAAGTGGAAAGTGGTTTGGAATTATTTAGCAAAGGGGAAAACTTCCCAGTACTATGGCCAGCACAGAGAGATCAGTCTTTGTATCTAAGATCCCACCTAATAGTATCTTAGTCTATTATATCTATTTATAGAGCTTTATTTAAACACCTTAATCATTTATACAATCACATGAGTGCTGACTGCAGAACCTATAAAAATGCAGTGACTGCACTTCCCAAAGAACAAAAACCCTCATGAAGTGTCATTGAAATCAATCCCAAGGAACAAGAAGGTATTTCACAACAGACTCTGTCCTTCCTGGTATCAGCAGGATACTGAACAATTCAAGTGGTAAATAAATGACATGTCCCTGAAAGGGATAAGTACAACACAAGAGAGACTTCTCAGTGTGTGAAGAAGGAGACAAAAAGTTACTTAAAAGCACAAAAAATGTCACCCATTACTAGAAAAGGAAGCCAACACAGTTACATGGTGCAAGAACAGGGGGATGGAAAAAGTGTGTGGTACCTCTGTCCTGTTGGGACATCCAACCAGCATCACAAGATTGTACTGACAAAGCCCTTGACAGTCTTGAATATAGAAACACAGGATGACACCCAATTTTAAAGGAGGGAAAAGTGATTAAGATGAGGAAGTGTAAAGCAAATTGAGGCGTTGTTTTTCTGAATCATCTGCCTTTTGCAAATCCCACAAGCTATCACCTCATTTTGGATGATCTCCTTCTACCATGTAAACTGCAGTCCCTGTGAGTGGGACAGGATGATGGTGCTGCCTCACCATTCAGTTTCTTTTTCCCCTATGGCTCTGTGGCTCTGTCTGTTTGCCTGTTACAAAGCCACAGAGAGCTCATTGTGAGTGAGCATGGGGGCTGCCTGCCCCAGCACTGTGACAGTTCCTTTCTAGCATTTACAGGCAGTGGAACAGTTTGCAAATTTCTGCTGAATCCAGGGAAGAATAAAAAGGCAAATACAGCAGTGAAGTTTACTGAAATCAGCAAATTTTGCACCTTCATAGGAAAGAAAGGAATTCTCTTGAGAAAGTTGGCAATGACTTAAAGAAGTGGATTATGTCAAGGATAACAAATTACTTTTATTGGAAAATAAAGGTCTAAATGACTCAAAATCCCATTCCCATTTAATCAAAAAGAGAGCTAGATGTGAGCAATCAGAGCTTCTGGTTCTGTCACATGTAAAAGCACAACCAAGTCACCTACAGCACACTGCTAGTCTAGCAAAGATTGTGTTGTGAGATACCAGAGTTGAATTGCCTGCCAAGGTTTGGGTGGAAGTACTCAGTTTAGCACATAATCTGGTTTTGAGAAGCAGCTTCTAAAATCACTCAGACTCATAGTTCCTACCAGCCAAATTCACTTGTACAGCTGTTCCCTTCTGTGAGAATAACTGCTGAGCACACACCACACAGACTGCTCTCTACTGCATCCCTGCTTGTTTGGGGCTTCAGAAGGGAAGGAGCAGTAAAAACATTGGCCACTATTTCTAAATTCCTGCCTTGGTGCCTGCAGGTTACACTGCATACCACTTCAAAGAGGGCACAGAAAATTTGCCATCCTGACTCAACAACACTTTACAGTAGCATAAATAACCTCACAAGGTGGAGGCCAGCTGAAGATCCTCCTAGTAAATCAGTGCTATTTTTATATTAATTTGTCTGCAAATAAACATAATTTCACCTGTTCCCCCATAATTACTGCTATTTAGTTGTAGCTTGAAACTACACGACACCTGTAGCTCTATCATCACTGTTTCCTTTTTCAGTATAAGGAAACCCAGTAAGGAGTTTTCCTTGAAGAAGCAGCTTAAATTCAATTAATTTATTCCATCAATCTTTTATTGAAGTCATGGGTATCCTACTGGTATCAGTCAGAAGCTTTCAACAGATTTCTATCAGGTTGTTCACACACATGCTGTCAAACTTATTTAAGGACTATCAGTTAAAAAAAACAAACAAAAAAATCCCAACAAAGTGAAAGCATTGTGTAAGAGCCTAATCACGTTCTCTGCAGGAACACAAAATGACAGAAGGTGATACTTCTCAGTTCAGAGCTAAGTAAGAATAAATGCTGGAAGAACTCTGGGAGCATAAGCTTGTTGATGGTCATGTGCTTTGCTTCCAAAAGAAGCACAGAGCCACAGCACACTGTTACCCAAGGGTAAAGCACATATGGTTCTTTAAATGACAGCAACTTGCATTGGTATATTTTCCAGAGCCAAATATTGCATTCATAGAATGATGCTGTGCTAAATAAAAATTAACCCATGTGTTCAGCCCATCATAAAGTGTTACCAAAATGGTTGTATCAAACATTCATTTTCCCAAAGACATAGAACATGGATGATTGCATAGGTAAAAATTTTGGGGCTCTTTAAAAATTGAAGTATTTGTCTTTTCTTTCACTTTATTAAAAAAAATTGGAATCCAAACTTCAATTTTCAAAGTGGCTGCTGCAGCATGGAAAACAAAGTCCCTACTTTTGTGGTAGGTGAAACAGTGTAATTGTTACTGTGAGGTGTTCTGAAACTTGTCTCAGCTTACATCACTGCTATTGGTGATCATCTAGGGCATAATGTCTAAATACAGCCTCAAGTCTAATTTTTTAACTTTCCTTGTAAGAATTTGCTTTTTTTTTTGTCTCGTGCTTCACACTGGCTAGTCTCTTCACCTACAATATCCACAACCAGTAACTCACCCAATAATCAACATCGTTTCCAAACATGGAGCGTTGTATGCAGCACAGCAATTTGTGGGGACAGGCATCCCACACAGCCTGTCTGCTCTGTCACCCAACAGTGGTCTGACCTCAAAGCCCACCATGATAGGCTTTCTGGCACAGACCTTCACAGAAGGGCTCCACAGAATCATGGAACAGACCAGGCTGGAAGGGAACTCAAAAGATCATCTGGTGTAGCCTTTCATGTGACACAGAGCCTCCATGAAATCATTTAGCATCCTCTTCAAAATTTCTAACAAGGGAGACTCCACCACATCTGTGGGGAGGTTGTTCTGTGAATGATGGTTCTCACTGTAAGAAATATCTTACTTCAAGACAAATATGAATACACTGACATAACTGACCAAAAAAATCCCATTTGAAGTGGAAGCATTCACTCTTACATTCATTACATAACCTGTAAGCAGCTTGGGAGATGTAGTCCCATAATCATATTATTCTCAACTCAAACAGCTCTAGAACAAGCAAAGAAGACCTCACTGGGCTTCTGAACTTGGGTCAAGCAGAAATGCCCCAGAGCAGTAGCCAAAGAAAAGAGGTGTCCAATAGTGGCACTTCTTTCCAGTCTGGAAAGATCCATTTCACTGAAACTCCTTAAGGCAAGAAACAGATGGCTGAGTCCCACCCCCATTATCAAGTGCTGCAAATAAAGTAATGCATTCACATTTTAAAACTAATGAAAAGCCAGATCTGACTGGTCAGCCAAGAAAGCCCAAAGTGGTTCTCCTGGGCTATTCTAAGCCTTGGGAAGATGGTGCTGTCTCAAGATGCATCAAAGGAAATATAGGTTGGATAGTAGGAAAAAGTTTTTCACGGAGACTCAACGTTCTGGAATGGTCTGCCTGGGGAGGTGGTGGAATCACCATCCCTGGATGTGTTTAAAAACAGACTAGATGTGACACTCAATGCCATGGTTTAGTTGAGGTGTAGGGGCATGGGTTGGACTCAATGATCTTTAAGGTCTCTTACAACATAGTCATTCTGTGAATTCTGTGTTTTACCAGCAACAAAACTGAGATGCAACTAATGAATCCCTGAAGTTATTGCTATCTTCTTTCTCTGCCTTGAGGGAAGGACAAAAGATTCTTAATTTATAACATTTTACTAGCTTACCTCTCTCAGTACCTGAGCTAATTTTGGCATCTTTACAAAGGTTTGCACAGGACTAACAAGGCTCTTAAAGCCACTTCTGCTAAGCCTTCCAACACTGTTGTACTTAACAAGTGCTAAAAAATCCTTTGCACTGCTTTGTTTGAAACTGTACAAACTCTTTCATCTGAAGGGCTGTTCATCACATTTCATCCTTTTTGTGGTGAAAGCACTAAAAATTAACTGACCTTCTGTTCACAAAGATCTTTATAATTTAATTCTCAGAACCAAAGAGCATCTTAATACCACCAGAGTGGGAGGAGAGGACAAGAGACAGTCACACGTTATTTCACAGACTTCAGTGATGGCTTTCACAAAGCCACACAGCAGCACAGCTCGGGATGTTCCCCTCCCACTGCCCTCAGCCAACTGCAAGAGAGTCAGTGAGTGGAAGCACTAATCAGCACTAATGGGGTTTGCATTCCTCCCCCAGCCACTTCTCCTAACTGTTGGGATGAAAGTTGCATCATCTTCATGTATTACCCTGTTTTTAAAATCTACTAGCAGATTAGCACAGAACATAAAAACAGTTTTCTGGAAGGAATGGTTGATGCTTTGTGAGTCTTCATGTAAATTTTAGCCACAGAGAAAAAACAAAAACAACACTTGGAATTGCTGAAATCTGGTCCACAAACCCAGTATTGAATCTGGGCTTCTTTTACTTAAAGAGGGTAGAGTGGTAAAAGGCAAGAAAGCAATTTTTCCCCCTAAATACTTGAAAGAAAATGTGTTTGTTCCCTCAATAGCTGCAGTTTCAAACATGCCAAAACAACAAAAAGAAAAGGTCACTAGTGCTGACACATCCCTCTTCTATATTCAAAAGATGGAAGGAAAAGCCCTTATTTCCCTTTCTGTACTTGGCTTCTCCTTGCCTGTGCTACCCCAGAGCTCCCTGGGGTTTGGTTCACCATGATGGCAAGGCCTGCTGCCCTCTTCATCCTTTCAAAAGTGTAGCATTCAGCCTTCTCTTCACTGGGAACTGTCCTGGTGCTTATGAGGCGAAATCCATCTTTGAGCAAAGTGTCAAGCAGCAGGCCCAGCACGTTAGTACCATTAATCAGCTTTCTCTTATCAGGCTTTATGGAAACATACCTAAAATCAGAGGGAAAAAAAAAAAAAGGAAAAAGCAGTTACAACACACTTTAACTACTTTACAGCACAGATCAGCCCAGCTGCACCGTGCTTACAGCAACCAAGGCTCCAGATATTTTTTTCTTCTTTTAAGGATGACTGGACTCTTTCCTTCATTAAGAGTAATTCTCAGTTCATCCAGTTATGTGCTGGGGAATAAGCACCTTTCACACCCTCCTCCACCACAAAATTTACTTTCTTAAGAAATATCTGTGACAACCCCCATCTTGTCTCAACAGAGCGGCAGGCTCTGAAATGCTGCAAGTTTTTCAGGTAAGAGTAAACAATGGACAGCAGAGTCACATTCACCCCAAGAGCATCACTCTCCAACACACAGGATCTCTCTCTACAAACAGTGACATTTATTGCAAAGTTACCTTGTACAGCAGGTCGTGTGGTAACGAATATGAAAATCATTTTCACATGGCCTCAAATGATTTTATTTGATATAAAGTACAGTGTAAGAATCTATCCAGACATTTTGAGGAGCAGAAGTCAGGTAAAAACACTATTACAAAATGTATAAACTGACAGGTGAAACTGTTCCACAGTTCACAGCCAAGTACACCAAACATTCATGGAAAGCACAAGAAAGGCAAAAAAGTCCATGTCACCACAAAGACTAAGGAGATAGAAATTCAGCAAGGCAACATAATCAAATTTTACTTATTTCATTACTCAAGATCAGCTTTTCTATTGATCTGCAAAGGGAAATTTTTACCAATTCTGAAGAAATAAATGAAAAAATCAGAAATATTTTCCCCACTACTTAAGTTGCCATAACCTACTCAACCAATTGCTAGTCCATTAAAATTAGTAATATGTTACAAAGTTAAGGTTTGGCACACAAACATATATATTGCTTCACAAATGCAAAGTAGTTTTTATTCTAATTGTTTAGCCAGAGAAAGCTGGAAGAAAGACAAACTTTATTTTCTTTAAAAAACAATCAAAAGACTGCTGTGTTGGTTCATATATTCAAATAGAATATTTTTGGAAATATTTCAATGAAATTTCCATAAAATTCCAGATGTTCTAATAGCCACAGAGGACAAATGAGGTTAACATTTTCTTATACAGTAAGAACATGTCTCTATACAATAGAGACATCCAGCAAAAGATAGTTTAAAAAAACCTAAGTAGTCATTAGAATACAATACGGCTATTACAAAAATTACTGATACACAGTTATCTTAATAAAAACAGAACCTGGGTCTGAATTCAAAGAAAATCCACTGTGAAGCATATAGTTAATAATCTATCTTTTCTCCCTCCCCCTAATAAAAAGTTCTACAAAAGCTTTCCAGCCCCCAAAATGCTGTCTCAGTTTCAATGAAGTTTTTAACCCTTCTTGCCATTCTCTGTTTCCTGTTTTCCATATGAAAGCCTTTTGCACCATAAGCTAGTGGAGATTTTAGGCTTCCACCCAGTAATTTACTTTACTTTGTTTCCTTTGCTTCATTTGACTGTGTTTTTCATGTTCTGTGGAAGGCGATACTGTGAAATCCTAGAGTGAGTGAGGAGGAAATTGCAGAGAGAGAAAAACCCAAGAGCACTCATAAACAAACATCAAGAACAGTACTTTAGGAAGCAGAAGAACAGGCAAATCAGTGTAACAAATTAAACTGGCTGTTTCAGAACTAGAAAAAGATAACATTGAACAGAAAGAAGGAAACATATTTCTTTTCTTTCAGTTTCTTTAAAATGAGCTTTGCTAGCACATAGTGTGCACTTCATGAACGGCAAGTCACAAAGACACGTCTGTAATGAGAAGTCACTCTCGGGACAGTACCTGGCCACGAACTGGTCACCAGCAGAATACTCAGTCCCACACAGAAAAACCATATCATGATGAGAGGGTCTTTCCAAAGGAAGTGGAACGAGTGGTTTCTGGGAAGGAAAAGGGCTGTTCCAGCCCTGTCCTGACTGCTGCCCTGTAAACACAGTGATCTGCTCAGCTAGTGCCTCAATGGTGGTACTGCAGGAACCAAAGATCCGGAAAAAGGCCTGCATTTTTTGGAGAGAAAAACGCACTTCCAAGATCTCCAGCCTAGGCTTCAGCAAATGTTCTTGGCTCAGGAGGTTGGCCAGGGAGTAGAGTCCATAGAATTCTGCTTCTCTCTGCAGCCTCTGATAGTCTGAGAAATCAGTTGGTAAGGACACCTGGAGAGTCCTCAAGAAGTCCATGATGTAACTAAACAAAGCTCCATCTCTGTCCACAAAAAACTCTCCATTCACCAGTTTAAATTCCCGGTCATCGTCACTCACCATGCGTGCCAGCCTGGACTCAGGGAACTGCTGCAAGGTGGAAGCCCGGGTTACAAACCTCACACCTCCCACAATCAGAACGACCACCTCCCGACTACTCATGGCTGCCTCAGCCACTCAGGAACCACAGCTCTCTGATCCACACCTCTGTGACTTGATCCTTCCTAAACTGCAAGGCAGCTGCAAAAACCATTGCATGCTTTTAGCAAGTGTTTGGAGTGAGGTGTGGAGCAGCAACAGGATTCCCAGGCAACAAAGACGTAAATATCATGTACAATAGTTTTGTTTGCTGGGTTTGGTTGCTTGGAGACTTTGAATTCTTGGAATTTAATGTTTTATTTTTGAAATGAACAGCTTGCAAGGACTACCAGAATACAGTGAATTGACTGTCACAATTTATGAAACCTTGAGAGAGGCCAACGAATATTCCTGAAGGATGGCACACATTGTATTTGTTTTCTAGAAATGTCAGTTCAACGTTTTCATTCCATACACTGCTGTTCACACAACCACTGCAAAAAGAGGTTAAATGTGCTTCAGGCAAGACATTTCAGTACCATATGCTCTGGAAGAAGGGCACTTCAGAGAACTCAAGCTTAAGGTTCCCTTTAAATCACTGTATCTAAGGCCAAGTCAACACAACCAGAAAATTCAATTAGCTCCTCAAACGAGATACACAAAAACACAGCAACAGCACAAGAACCTATACAAGGTTCTTCAAACACCACCAACATCCATACACCTGCTGCATCACACAACCTGTTCCAGGAATCATCCAGTAATTTTTCCTGGCTTTTGGAATTGCAATCTGGAGAGGCAGAGAGGGACAGGAGAGCAGCTGTTTTACTCGCCACCTCTGCAGGGCTAGAGCCCAGGCTGCCTTTCTGTGGCAGACCCCTGCGTGCCTTTCACTGCACTAAGTTCTTTATGTTAAGGCCAGTTTTTAAGAAAGTGTGGCTTCAGAGAAACATGGATCTAACAAAACAGCCCAGCTACCCCAACAATTTGATGTTGGGAAAGTAAACTGCAAAGTATGAACTATCTGCAAAGCACATACTATCCTGTAGCTTGGTCTTATCATTACCTCTAGAATTTATGCTTGCCCTGAAGATACATTTTTGTATAGAACATGTAATCTGAATGCACAGGGTAATTACAATATTTGGTTATACAAAAAGATACCCCACAAAACCAAACCAAAACATATAGCTATTTCAGAGAGAAGTAACATTGTCAGATAGAAGCTGGTTCCAGAATATGAATGATGCATGCTGCATTTTGCAGTGGAAGGGCAGTCCTCAGCAAACCTGTCAGCACAGTGCTCACCTCAGTTACAACTCTTTTTTCTCTTTCCAAACAATCTCCCAGTTAGAATTTTTTTAAAACTACAATCTTTTACCTTATTCTACAATTACATTAACATCAAACTAAAGATACAGTTTGGCCCTATATTTTGGTAAGGAAAATGATTTACAGTGAGTAAAATTCCCATAATCACCACTGAAAGAAGAATCCACAAAATGTTTTTCAAAGCTCCATTACATTTTCTGGTTTAGCAGTACTCAAACTATTGTGAACATTATGAATGTTTTGGAATAATTTTGAATCTTAGAATGTGTTCATTGGAAGTCTGAAAAGACCAATTAATTTAAGTTCCATGTTTTCTCCCCCAGATCTCTCTTAATTCTTATATTCCAGCAGACACTTCACAACAGTTTATATTTGCACACAAACTGTGCGACGTTATCCAGTACAACCAACGTATAGTTTTTACACTTTTCTCTTAACAGTGAAGCTCCATCTGTCATCTGTTCCCAGTAAAAGACTGCATGATCTGCTATCTCCACGGTATCTGCCAAATAGGACAAGAAAATTGTAAGGAACTGAGATTTCCAGCACTGGAGATTGTCAATGACTGACTCCACAAAGGACATTCTGGTGACAGCAAGAATGAGCAAGAAAATAAGAGAGTTCACTATAAATCTGCGTGAAAAGACTGAAGGAATCTTGAATTTGAAAGTGTTGCTTTCCTGAGGCAAGGAAAGTTTGTCCACATCAACAAGCTTTATTCCATTCCACTGGCTGGTATCAAAGCTCTTCATTGTGGGACTGATGTCCACAGTGGAACAAGGTAAAGGGGTTTCTTTGAGCACCTTGATTTTTTCCCTGAACTCCTGCATCTGCTGCAGAAATATAATGGGTTCGGACACATCTTTGAAGGCCTCTGCAATGTTAAAAGCCATCCGCTGCTCTTGCAGAATGGTGTTCAGTTTATTGATTTCCGGATCGTAGGCCTGCATCACCGCAAGCTTCATGGTCTCAAAGTCAGACAGAATCTCATTTCGCTTCTGCTCCAGCGTGTGCTGCAGCTTCTCAAAGAACTCCTTCACTTTGTCAGAATCTTTCGTCAGCATCTGCAGAGCTTTCCTCTTGCTGGTCTCTAAGGTATCCAGCCGTGAGAGGGCATCTCCACAACGCCAAGTTTCAAAGCCCTGAAACAAGGTTTCAAAAGCCCGCTTCTCCTGGGAATAAGCTTCTTCAATGGAACAGAAAACATGCTTTGTGTGGTCACCACGGGTGGCACAAACCCCACAGATCAGCTGCATGTCTGTCCTGCAAAAAATGTTAAGGGGTTGCCCGCTGTGCACTTTGCACACAGGCATTTTTGGAGTTACTTTGATTTTGTTGTACTTCTCCACGATACCTTTCAGGGAATAGTTGACCTGCAAGCTGTTGACTCCAGTGACAGGAGTCTCCTTTCTGCATGTGGGGCACTTGAAAGGGGATGGCCTCCAAAGCACATTCCGCACATTTCCCTCAAGAATTCCTTCCAGACACTTTCTGCAGAAATTGTGTGAACATGGCAGGACACGAGGATCATCAAACAGGCTACAGCAAATGGGACAGGTCAGATCTTCCTCTAAGAGCTCCATCATGTCCTAGGAAAGAGAAAAAAGATAGTAACAGAACTTAAAAAACTTATTTCTCCCTCAAGGAGACCATACAAAAAACAATTTCCATCTGAGACACGTTTCAGTGAGAAAAGGATGTATTTTTTCCTCCAGAATCCTTAAGACAGAGCCTCAGCTGCATTTTTGCAGCCAGTCCCCCTTAGCTGTGGTACCTGGCCAGCAAATGGCAGGCACAAGAATGGTGCAATGCTCAGGCAGAACCATTTTTTGGACTCTCAACTAGAAATGCTGGAAAAGAACACTTGCCAATCCCACCAAGGATTCTTAAAGAACATACCTCATGTACTCACAGTAACAGTGCATCCTTGCTGATGCAATACACAGAAATGGGATTTGCACAGAAGATACACAACCAATATAGTCTGCTAAGATTTGATTGCTTTCTACTTGCTCCACTCATCCAAAGCTTCCAGTTTCAACCCCTCGCACTGGTACTGTAGACAATACTAAAAGTGACTGAAAGAGCCCTGTTGCAGTGTTTCTTCTGCTACAGAATACATAATGTGTCTTTTTGCTCTACTTGCAAGGCCAAAGGAGAGTCACCACTCACTTTAAGAATTACCTTTTCTCTTGCTCCTGCAGTATTTTTAAATAACCAACTGAATGTGCTACTATTGAGCCATTCAGCACCAAGTCAAAATACTTCAAATAACTTCAAATAACAGCTGCCCATAATCCTTGATAATTCATCATGAAACAAAACTGTGAAACATTTTTGCTCATCTGCAATCTCTATTTCCAATTCCATTCTCACAGCATTCGTACCCCAGTAATTTCTTTCTGTGGAGAGAACCTACAGGAAGAATATTTATCATGTAATCCTTCCTACTGGAAAGTCTCAGTGAAAGGATCCAGCGCACTGCCCTCCCCCCATCTCTAACTAAAGCCAAGTTCTCAGATGCAGACACCTTGTAACTTACAGCATGCTCTAAGAAAACAAATAGACAATAAAGACCAAAGTAGGTGATAGTCTGTATGATCCAAAGCTCTCATACACTTTGTTTTGAGCTATAATTAGAAAGATGCTTCCCTTGCATAAATTCCTTCCGTATTATACAACATTTATTCATATATATGTAATAAAATTCCTCTTATAAATTGAAAGACATCACAGAAAAGTGCATCAAAGTACTTCACGTACTGCTGTGACATCAAGGCATGTGAATGAGCTCTTAATTAGTTTTTATGTAATTTCTAAGGTTTCTGTCCCCTCAAAGAAATATGAAGTGGAAAACATGGGAGCCAAGAACAGAGCTGCAAGGGAAGATCCACGCTGCATAGGAGACAAGAAGAGTAATAAAAACAATACTACTGACCCAAGGAAAGCAAAGTTTACTATCAGGAAGAAAAGTGAGGTCGGTCCTCACTTTCCTTCACAAAAGGACCAGTAAGACTTCACAGTAAAAGCTATTCCTGGGAAGTGTAAGCAAACCTCCCATGCTTTCCAAGTGAGGAGGAGGGATTGTCACAACCTGAAAATTCAATAGAACGTCTCAGTGGGCTGAATAAAGACAGCAGCCCAGTGTCAGGGAACTCTTATCCTTTACTATATAGCCACCTTAACTCCCACAGCCATCCTGCTATTTAGTTGTAGAAGTGTTGGCTGACAAGCTCTTGACTTTTACAATGAACTTTACCAAGCTCCTGACGCTCCCAGCAAACTTCAGCACAGAGCAAGGGGTAAAGTCCAAATGCTGGGATAGAATAAGAGAGGAGAAAGTAAAGAGGGAAAATGGAGAAAGTGAAGGAAAAAGACAACCAGTCCTTAGATCCCGCATTGGTCCTGCCACTCTGTACGGTCCAGATCTGGGATCAACAAAAGCCTGGGACCAATCCCTCCCTTTTACAGTTTCCCTAGGGCACATCCTTTCATTTTTTGTGCCATTTGCTGCTGCTGGCACATGCACAGTGAGCCCTTCGGGAAATGAGTGGGGGGGCTGGGGGCCTGTGGTGCTCTGGGACCCCCCTTTAGTGAGGTGCCCAGGACTTGGCCCTTCTCTTGCTGCAGGCACACTAACCATGAGCCTCCAGGATGGCTAACAAGCCCGGCAATGAAAGGGAAGCTGGCTCACAACAGCTCTTCCCTGCCTCAGCAGGACCCTCCTCCCAATCCCAACTTTCCTGTGACAGCACGACAGTCAGAATGCTTGAGACAACCATGCTTATGTGCTTATGCCCCTCCACATATTTTCTGTGCTTGCTGGAAAAAAGAGACTTTGGAAAAGTTGCCAGCTTTTTTACTCAGAACTAAAGTCAGGAGGCAGAAGAAGCCACCACTACAACTGAGGAAAAAGTCCTAGAGAAAAGGTCTAATAACTCTAACTAATGGGTTTCCTGTAAGCCCACAGATCCCATTCAGAAACCTCATTTTCTGTGAGGAGAATGTAGTTTTGAAGCACCTCTCACGCTCTCAAAGCAACGTTTCTCTTCCATCTTTTTCCTAGTGGTAAAAATAATGGGATGACAGGAAGATGGTAATTTCATCCCTCCACTCTTGAATCTTCCTTTTTGTGAGCAGCTCTCTCTTTCCAACTTGTACTCATAGCTTTTAGCCACAGTAGCAACACAAAGATCAGTTCTGCTCATGTGCTAGGAGGATAATAACTACAAAACTAAAATGACAGTTTTCCATCTCTTAGTAAATGGAAATGCACAGGGCAGAAAATATTTCCTCTGGTCCATCTCCTTTACCAGGGAAGATTTTACTTCCCAGTTAGGGAGCTGGAAAAGCAACTTTGCATGCCTGACAGCAAGAACTGCAAACCAATGCAGAAAATGCTTACTGTAACACTTTCCATCAAAATTGGAGGACAAACACTGAAGATTTTCACACTCCTAAAAATACAAAAAACATACACAAAAAGTCTTCATGATCCAACTAAAACTGTCCTGTTGCATTTCAACCCCACTTACTGAATTACATAATTATGCTTCATAAATCTAACAATTTCAAAACCTTTATACAACATCATTAAAAACACTGGATTTTTAAAAAATAAATGGCCAGGTCTACAAACTTCCCCCCCTCCCCCTCTTACAACACCAGAAATGCCAAACCAAAAATACTGAAGACCTGTATGACTGGTTGGACAGATTAACTTCTGTCTTCTTTAATTTCAGACAGTAAATTGTCTGTGGATTGAAACATCCCTTAGCAACCTGGTATTTGTGTGATGATTTCAACTTTTCCACTGGGAATTTCTCTGTGTAACGTCTGACCCAGGTTTGGGTGGCCCTGGAATTCCCCACTCGTAGCACACGGACCAAAAGCATCTCTGGGTACAAACCCAACAGATGTCACCCATCAGAAATAGCAACTTGCACAGTTTTATCATTAGGAAGAAGAATGACAAGCAACATCAAACCATAAAAGCAAAAACAACCACACTCCAGACAAAAATTCATTTAGCATCCTTCTCAGCACAGAAGTTGGGTTTATCAGCCAGCAGCATGCTGAAAGTGAAACCAGAATTTCACCAGGCTTCAAAACAACCAAAAAAATAACCCCTGAATTACAAGTTTCCTGCAATGGCGTGTAACTGTTCTAAATGAGACTTGACTAAGTGAAGCTACATTTCTACAAGCAGTTGAGCTAGTCAGGAGAGGTCACATTTCCCTTCCTTGGCAAGGACCCTGGTCTGTGTTAGGACCCCTATGAGCAATTTCACCAGCCTTCTGTCAGAATGGTGTGTTGAATCAGCCCTATAAAGAGTCACACATAGAGGGGAAGGGAGATGGAAGATCCTCCTTCCAGCAGCTATGATCTTAACCCTGTTCACTCCACTGAGAGAAGCTGCAATCTAACGGAGGGTCATTGTATACATTTTATTGGGGAACACCTGATCTCCATGAGCAGTAGGTAACATAGGATCATAGAATGTTAAGGGACTGAAAAGGACTTTGAAGATTATCTAGTCCCAACTCCCCCTGCCATGGGCAGGGACACCAACCACTAGACCAGGTTGCCAAAGGCCTTACCCAACCTGGCCTTGAACACTGCCAGGACTGGGGCATCCACAACCTCCCTGGGGAACCTGTTCCAGTGTCACTGCTCCCACAGTAAAGAATTTCTTCCCAATATCTAAACAAAATTTCCCCTCTTTCAGGTACACATCACTCCTTGTTCTGTCACTATAGTTCCTGATGAAGAGTCCCTCTCTGCCTTCCCTGTAGATCCCTTTCAGCTATTGGAAGGCTGCTATCCAGACAGCCAAAAAGACCTGGGTAAATTGCCCATGCTTCAAACCTGGTATTTCATGGCTAAAGGTTTTTCCAGGAGCACCAGACGGATGCAACATGTCCAGACTCTCCAAAGGCAGGAAGGCCGGAAGAAATAAGCGATCTGCGCTCAGTGCATTCACAGCCCCATGAACACCGTTTCACCCCCAGGGCTGGCCGGTCTGTCGAGCGCAGGGGCTGCCCCAACGCTGGCCCCGCGCTCACCCCCATTGTCCCTCGACCTGGCAGAGGTTCCCTTGCTGCTCCTGGTTACAGCCCCCCTCTCCAATTCCAGCGGGGAATCGCCCCTAAATGACGGCACTGCAGCCAGCCGCCGGCCCTGGTTTCCGCGGGGGTCTCAGCGCTCTGCCGCGCAGCGCAGCCCGGGGCAGGGAGGCCCTGCCGGTCCGCCCGCGCCCCGCCAAGCACAGCGGGGATGGCGGCTGCCCGCGCCACCGGCGCTCCGGCCGCGGCGTCCCCCGCCGCCTCTCACAAAGCCGCGGCCTGCGCTGGCCCGGCCGCGCCCGCCCGTCCTGCCGCCCCCGGGCCCCGCTACTCACCATGGCAGGCGGGGGCCCGGCCGCCTCGGTCACTCGCACGGCTCGCCGCGCTCCCGCCCCGGCCGCCGCCCGCCTTCCGGGCCCGCCGCTCCCGCCCCGCCGCCCGGCCCCGGCCCGCCGGAGCGACCGGCCGGGAGCTGCTGCCCCGCCGTCCCACCCACCTTGGCCCGCGGCCGCCGATCCAGCCCCAGGGCAGGAGCTTCTGCGGCTCTTCCCTTCCTCCGTTTGCCTGCGAGTGGCCGGGAAGGCCTCCGGAGCTGCCGGGAGAGGGCCGGCGGTGGATGCTGCTTGCCTAAGGCGACGGCCGAGGCTGCAGCCTGTGCCTCCGCCGAGATATATACGGGTTTCTGTTGTTTGTTAACTCTGTTAAATTACACTTGAGCCTGCAGCTCACAGGCGCACGTTGCACAGCCTAAGGAGGGGCGCTGCTGGGTGACAATCCTGCTGGGGATCTGCCACCTTCCGAAAGCACTTATTAAAAGAAAACATAATTTGAGACAGATAGCCTTATGTGCTTCATAAAAGGAGAGTGACTCATTCTTATTTGCTTGAACACACTGGTTATACCGTTTCCAGCTGGTGAATCTCTTGGAGATTTAACGTGGCCTGTAAAACCAGTACAGCTTTTCCACAAAACACTGACTAGTCCCAGGGAAATGGAGCAGAAGAGATCCCATATCCACTTGAAAGAGCATTCTAGTTACTGAAACTGAATCTGGAAGTGCTGAGATGTCAGAGGACCTTTGTCTGGGTATCTCTTTTGCAGTTCTGATAGTTCTCAGTTAACAGAACAGGTCTCACATCAAAGTAAACTGAACTTATTTTCAAGCTAGACTTTGTGAAATACTCCATCAAAAGCTGTTCTCAAATGTACATACTCTGCCTCTCCCCTACTCTGCACCCACTGCAGTCCTGTCACTCATCAGCACAGGGGAGACTCTTCACCTCCAGGACTATCCACTCAAGGAACATCACAAATTGGACTGTATTTCTATCAAATGAAGCTCCCTTGCACATCTGACATATTTCTTCTCATTATTTAGGAATCTGGATCTTAAACGCCATTCAATAACGTTACTGAATTATAAGGTTATGCTTCCCCAATTCACTGCAGTCAAGTACTCCTCACCTTCTCTCCTTGCTGCCCCACCCAAGCTGGCCTGCCTGCTCAGCTGAACTCAATGGGAACAGTTTGACCAGGGACAAGCATTTTTGAAAATCCCTTTCAGAATGCTTACACACTGAGGCATTTCTTCCACTATCCACTGGAGAACAGCCCCAGCAGGTAGAGTTGCAGCACAAAAGCAACTGAGACCTTCAGATGTATTTCAACATCCTGCTTGTTTCTAATTGTCCAGCATCTTGTTTGCTGTTTATTAAAAACAAGTAATTCCAGGTAGTTTCCCTCAGCCACCTAAGCTGCTTACAACTGATATCGCAATGCTTGTGCATTTACATTTGCTGAGTACTCCTTGTCTACGCTTACCCAACAGCTCTTTTATATCAAAAATTTCTGGGTCCTATTAATCTTCTCTGTAATTTTATGGTTAAAG